ACATCCTAAATTACCCAGGATTATATAAGGTAAGCTAATTAACAAATAAAATGAAGTTCATTCTGATATTCCTTTAATAGACAACTTTCTAAGCAAGTGCTACTACGAAGTAAGAACATTTTAAGGCAAACATTGCAATGACTTTCTTTCTGTGCAGCTGAAATTTTTGCGAGACATGTGCCAATGTTTTACGAGACAGGGATAAAAGAATGAAAACTAATACAGAAGAGGTAAGTGATTCACAAGGTCTTTGAAAGATTTTATTTATATTTAGGGTTTTCTTTTAAGTTGAAGGTTAAGTGCTTTAAGGTTTTAAAACTTAAATCTAAAAGAAAAGCCTCACTGTTTCTTCAGAGTTCTTTGCTTCAATAAGAATTGGTTGTGCATAGAAACCTTAATCAAATATCCAAGACACCAACTGCTCACTTTTTCCTCCTCAAGGGAAATTACTAAGTTACATCAGTCAAATTTACTGCTTACTTTTCAAGAGATATGGAAAATATATAGGGGGAAAAGTCATATCTGGTAGAGGATATAGGAGTAACTGAATAATAACTTCTGCTTCTAGCCCCTAGGGCTTCTCTGTGGAATGCCTATGGGAATATACACTATCATCATAAGACATATGCCTAAGATGTACATTACCCCAAATGACATACACATCCCTTAAAAAGTGTGACATCCATCAGGTCTCTACATAATGGTGGGTAGGTTGTATTGCACAACTTCAATGGGTGCCATTCATGCAGACAACGGTGAATGGAGCACCTTGGGCGATAATGCAACTGGCAGCCCTGATCGAAGTGTAGTCACTCCTTTAACTTATGTTTTGTCCTGGAGATACCAGAGAACATTCACATGATGCAGATGCTGCTACTGATGAAGAAACTAAAGATAATGGCCAAATGTGTGAATACCTACCATAGACTGATTACTTTGCCAACATTATAAAGAAAGGACCAGATTGGTGGGCAGCTGGGTGGGGGTGGATTTGCTTAAGTACCAAAGACTTTGAAGGACCTCTGCTAATAATCTTTATTGCTCCTTATTGCTTTAAAACAGGGAGTAAATGGAATGGGGCTAAATTATTAGAAAAAGACAGTTTTATTGTTTTTTTTTCTCAAAATGAGGCTATAGAATTATGCAAAGAAAAATACACAGGTAAATATTGTAAACTAATCTAGTATTAAAATACCGATTTTGGAATTCTGTGAGTTTATAGCACTGTCAGGGTAAACACATAGGGAGAAGAAAGTTTTTCTCTTGTAGGTTTTAAAGACTTAAGATATTTCATCATAAAAAATAAATTTGGGGGGACATTGTAATAAACAGATGCCAATCAAAGTACTAAAACTGGTAGTTTTGTAAACAACCCTTCAAATCATAAGGCAATTCAAATAATGACAAACTAAGTTAATCATACTGGATACAAACATTTTAAAACAATTGTTGCAAAAAATCTTGGTCTACTCCTTGGCAATAATAATTTCTGCATTTGGTGAAACTCAGTGGCCACTAAGATTATCATAACCTAATAATCACATCTCTAGGCACTGATACAAGATTGTTCATGACTTAGTAGAACATAGTCATCAGTTTCTGATTTTTCAGTCTCCAACCTCACCCCAATATGTAAAATTCTTTACCAGTAAGTACTATATATTAAAAGAAACTTTGCTCTCCACTTTTATCCTTTAACTAAAACTAAGCTTTAAGTCATCCTGATGTGATATTTTCAAATACTTCCTTTGAAATAAAAAATATTTAAGTACCTTCATGGAAATCCTCTCTCTCCATCACTTACACATTTGTATATAATGTAGAGACAGTGATCATTTTATTTAAAAATTGAGAATAATATAAAAAGGAATTACAATGAAAATATTGGCTACCTTAATGATAGCAATCATTCCTGACATAATGATATCTCTTTTTAACAAAAAACAAATTGCTTTACCAATGCTTTCAAACACTTGTTAACATCAGATCATTATCAAAAGCCCCAATACCTGAATAATACATTTCTATATTACTCTGCAGAATCTATTAAATTTAACGGCTAATTTTTAACTATAAAATCTGGAACTCAGTCTGTAAATTTATAAAGGAGTATTTTTTCAAGCATCATCCTAGAATTTTATGGGAAAATTAATAGAGAAATGGATATTGGATGAAGACTGCAACCTCCTCAGGAATGGGAGGAAGTTGATTTTCTCAATCACTCTTGGGAGAGAGATCCAAGATGGCTGATCACTAGCAGCTCGGGATTGCAGCTCCCACTGAAAGAGCAGAGAACGAGAGGACACCACACTTTCAGATCAATTTTTGTTGCTCACACACCAGGAGATTCCCAGCGGAGGAGCCCCACGTGTCACCAGCGTGACTCTTGAGGCCGGTGAGGTGGTTTTGCCGCTGCCTTGGTGTGGCGGTTCTTGGTGCAGAGTCAGAAAAGCACCATCAATCTTAAAGCCGCTGTTTTGGCCGGAGCAGTGGGTTGCTCAGATTCTAGCGCCGGGAATCAACAAGTTGGACGTCCATTCAGAAACCCAACTATAAAGACGGTAATTATAAAGACCACAGATGGATAAATTTATAATGAAGGGAAGAAACCAGCCTAAAAAGGCTGAGAATACCCAAAATCAGAATGCCTCTCCCTCTACAGGGGATCACAGTTCCTCATCAGAAACAGAACAAGGCCTGATGGAGAAAGACTGTGTTCCATTAGCAGAAGCTGGCTTTAAAAAGTGGAAGATAAGAAACTTCTGGGAATTAAAAGAACTTGTTCTAACCCAATGCAAAGAAACCAAGAACTTTGAAAAAGGTTTGAAGAAATGTTAACAATAACACACAATTTAGAGAGGAATATAAGTGAATTAATGGAGCTGAAAAATACAACACGAGAACTTCGCGAATTATGCACAAGTTTTAACAGCCGAATTGATCAAGCAGAAGAAAAGATATCAGAGGTCGAAGACCAACTTCATGAAATAAAACAAAAAGACAAGATTAGAGAAAAAAGGATAAAAAAGAACGAGCAAAGTCTCCAAGAAATATGGGACTATGTGAAAAGACCTAATCTACGTTTGATAGGTGTACCTGAATGTGACGAAGAGAATCAATCCAAGCTGGAAAATACACTTCAGGATATTATTCAGGAAAACTTTCCCAACCTAGCAAGGCAGGACAATATTCAACTCCAGGAAATACAGAGAACACCACAAAAATATTCCTCAAGAAGACCAACCTCAAGGCACATAATCGCCAGATTCACCAGGGTTGAAATGAAAGAGAAAATACTGAGGGCAGCCAGAGAGAAAGGTCAGGTTACCCATAAAGGGAATCCCATCAGACTCACAGCAGATCTCTCAGTAGAAACCCTACAAGCCAGAAGAGAGTGGGGGCCAATATTCAACATCCTTAAAGAAAAAAACTTTCAACCCAGAATTTTACATCCAGCCAAACTAAGCTTCATAAGCGAAGGAAAAATAAAATCTTTTGTGAACAAGCAAGCACTCAGAGATTTCATCACCACCAGGCCTGCTTTACAAGAGCTTCTGAAAGAACCACTACAAATAGAAAGGAACAACCAGTATCAGCCTTTCTAAAAAATACCAAAAAATAAAGAACATCAACATAATTAAGAAATTGCATCAACTAATGGGCAAAACAGCCAGCTAACATTAAATGACAGTATCAAACACACATATATTGTTATTAATTCTAAATTTAAATGTACTAAATCCCCCAATCCAAAGACACAGACAGGCAAAAAAAGCCAAGACCCATTGGTATGCTACATCCAGATCCATCTCACATGCAAGGATCAAAACAAAGGGATGGTGAAAAATTTACCAACCAAATGGAGAGCTAAAATAAATAAATAGAAAGCAGGAGTTGCAATTTTTGCTGATAAAATATATTTCGAAGCAACAAAGATCAAAAGAAGCAAAGAAGGATATTACATAAAGATAAAAGGATCAATGTAATAAGAAGAGCTAAAGATCCTAAACATATATGCACCCAATACAGAAATACCCAGATATATAAGACTTACAAAAAGACTTGGACCCCCACACAATAATAGCGGGAGACTTCAACATCAATATTAGATAGATCAATGAGACAGAATGTTAACATCGATATCCAGGACTTGAACTCAGATCTGGAACAAGTAGACTTAATTAACATTCATAGAACTCTCCACTTTAAATACACAAAATATACACTCTTATCAGTACTACATCACACGTATTTACAGGTTTAAATGAAATATTGGTTGGCTGCTTGTTAATTATTTTCTTCCCTCATTTTTTTTATGTCTCTATTATTAAACACAATTACAGGCATACCCAGTTTTAGACTGCATTCTAGCCCGGGCAATAAAGCAACACCCCTGTTCTCTCTCCCTCTCCCTCTTCCTCTTCCTCTTTCTTCATTTCCTTTATTCTTTTTCTTTTTTTTTTTTTAATTCTTTTTCTTTCTTTCTCTCGTTCTTCAAAAAAAAAAAAAAAAGGAATGGGAGGAAGTTAAAGTTAGTCTTTATTGCTGTACAACATTCCAGTTGAACCCAACCTTACTGAATGCATGCACTCAACTTTTTCTGGTGTAAACATCTACATGAGTAATGATAAATACTACATTGGTATTTCAAGGATAATAAACCAGAAGTTAACTTCTAATATTTGCTCAAATGCTTTGAACACCATTATTTTTCTTCTTCCTTAGCAAAGAAGTAGATATATTATTTTAGTCATCACACACTGGCAGAAAAGACCACTTACATGTTACAAATTTGGCTTTGAGAAGTCAGTCTATTTTCCCAAGCATAATGATCCTATTTTTAATTGATAGCTATTAGGACTGTATCTTAGGTGGAGGAGTGTCTCATGAAGTATGCAGGAGTTGCAAATAAGAGAGCCTTGCTTTAACTGGAGAACTGAGAGGTGTTTAGATGGTGAGTTAGGAACAAAAAGCAGGAGAAGGAAACAGCGATGACTTACCTGTAATACTTTGGTCAAATTGTTAAACAGAGCCTGGCCCGCACTCACTTTGTATTTGACACCTCTGACTGTGCCATTTTTGCTTAAAATGTTGACTCTTCTTGTACCAAAACCCTTCTCACTAGCAGCCCTTGCTAACACCAGCAAGTTATCCTGGTCATTCTCATTCCCATCACCTTCTGATTCTATGTGGCCATTCTGCTGTCCATCAGAATCACTTAGTCCAACTATCCCACAGATACTGGCACATTCAGAATCCAGAGAGCCTGACGGTTGCCCATCTTCATACACTTCCTTCAGAACTCGCCCACTGTGAGAGGATGCTATCCGAAACCGGACTCTCCGTGGCCTGTCACTTTCTGGCTTCATCTCCCTTTTCAGCATGGTCACCTCCACCCACATGAACAGTTTATAGCATTTTGGATTCGTTTTTATTGCACTAGTCCACTCTCCAGATAGCAGTATCAGAGCCAATTCTAGTGATGGCAGCACTCCTGTGAAACTGACATCGAAAGGAAAGAAGATTCCCAAGGACTTACAGTGAGTCTCTGCTATTAATAATGAATGTGTGGGTGTGTGCTATGGTTACCTTTAAACTAAAACCTGCAAAGTGATCCCGGCCTTTAAATATTAAATAGCCATGGCGGACTCTTTAACAGGACAAGTGCAAGAAAGTGGCATGCAGCGAAACAGAAAATAAGTATGGGGCAAGAAAATGAAAGGCTTGAACTTTGAAGTCAATGGTGAGCATTGAAAAGGACCTGAGCAGTGGATATGTCTCTACTAGTCATTGTGGAAGGCAGAGGTCAGAGATTAATGTGGAATCAAGTTTATAGGATAAGAGAAGTCATAACTTTCTCACAGTGCTTATTTCTTTTTCACTCACACTGAATGATCTTTCAGAAGGGCAATGAACATGTTGCATGCCTGCATAGAGCTATCAATATTAGTTCTTATTAAATCATCTATTAGATTTTATCTACATTGCATAAGATGAATGTCCAACTTGCATCTATCTTCATGTTCCAGTAGTTTTACTAAAGAGTAACTTGTTAATAAAAATGCTATTTTTAGCTTTTTTGAAAACACAGAATTTTGCTTTGTTTTTTTCCGCCTTCCGCTAGTAGAAAACGTTGTTCTTTTTGACAGAGGAAAGGTTTCAGAAAGAATATATATGCAACAGTGAGGGAAGAATAGAAAATCCCTCCAGGCTAGCAGATCAGCCAAAGCAATCCAGGATCAGCAGTGATATATATTATATCCAAATCACCCATGCATAGAGGAAGGTCTTCCTCATGCTGTGCTCAGTGTATTTTCTATCACTTTGGCAAGCACCTAAGGAACCTGTTATGATATAAGGTCATATTGAAATTTACATTATAGTGCGTGCCCCAAGCTGTCTGCACTTCCTGAGGGAGGATAAGCAGCTGACCTGCACAAAGAACTTCAGGATTTTAATTGTTAAGGTTTTGGTCTCAATATGAACTTAATTTGCAATTATTTTAGAAAATTCAGAAAATAATATCATGAAGTTGAAAATAAAATCATGAAAAATCTCATCAGAGATGTTAATAATTTTGTGTATTTTTTTCCAGAGTGTATGGCAGAGATGTTCCACAGCTCACAAAACCAGATTGCTCAGACTCTTGCATTTAAGGGAAAAGGCAGCAAGTGCTTAGCTTTTGATGATGATCATGAGCAAAACTGATGCATCATTTATGCACCAAGACAGCTGAGACAGGGCCTGCCCTGTCTATGCTATTTGTCTTCCTGCCTCAGCTGCTAGCTGCATGACCCCAGAGCAATCTGGAAGCACTATACTGAGCTTGTCAGAGTTACAGAGAAATTAACAACCACTACCACCCTACATTAGATGATGTCATGAGAAAAAATAAGCCTTTATTGTGTTAAGCAATGGAGATTAAAATTTAAGAGTTGTTTGTTAGAGCAAATATCATTACTGAATCTGATTAATATGCTCTCATATATAAAAGCATATTACATTTATTTAGTGTCTTGGTTTTTTGTTTTTTTTTTTTTTTTTGGTCAACCTTATAAAGAGAATCATTTCCTATACCATTATTTCTGAAAAACATAAATTTAATGTGTGTATTAAAAAACCTCCTGATGGCCATGTTGTATTTTACTTTATTCTTTCTGGATTGCTAGATGTTTGAGTTATTTAAAATATTTAGTAAAATAATGCCGTAAATAATATACTTGCTTAAAAATCAGTGTTCATATATCTGGCTGTTTAGCATAAATTTATTTGGGAAAAATTAATGGGGTAAGAATTTTCACAAATTTAAAGCTCTTGATAAAAATTGTTATTTGCTTTTGAAGACAAATTGTATACTGTACACTTCTACTAGTGTATGAGTGACTGTTTTACTGTACTCTTGCCAGTGCCAACACTGAATACAAGCATATCTCAGATACTGTGGGTTTAGTTCCAGACTACAGCAATAAAGCAAATATTACAATAAACAGTCAAATGAATTTTTTTGTTTCCCAGTGCGTGTAAAAGTTATGTTTATACTATACTGTAGTCTATTAAGTGTGTAATACTGTTATGTCTTTTTAAAATGCACATGTTGAAACCATCATTCTCAACAAACTTACACAAGAACAGAAAACCAGACACCACATGTTCTCACTCATAAGTGGGTGTTGAACAATGAAAACACAGGGACACAGGGAGGGGAACATCACACACTGGGGCCTGGGGGGTGGGGGACTGGGGAGGAATAGCAGGGGGTTGGGAGATTGGGGAGGGATAACATTAGGAGAAATACCTAATGTGGATGACTGGGCGATGGATGCAGCAAACCACCATGGCATGTGAATACCTATGTAAAAAATAAAAAAATAAAATGCACATATTTTAATTTAAAAATATCTTATTGCTAAAAATGCTACCTCTTTAGCCTTCAGAAAGTTATAATCTTTTTGCTTATAAGGGGTCTTCCCTCAATGTTGAGGGCTGCTGACTGATCAGGGTGGTAGTTGCTGAAGGCTGAAGTGGCTGTGGCAATTTCTTAAAATAAGACAACAATAATCTTTCACAAAATATTTCTTTGTTGTATGCAATGCTGCTTGACAGCATTTGATCCTTGGTACAACTTCTTTAAAAATTGGAGCTGATCCTTTTAAACCTGCTGCTGCTTTATCAACTAAGGTTTTGTAATATTCTAAATTCTTTGTTGCCATTTTAACAATGCTCACAGCATCTTCATCAGGAGTAGATTTCATCTCAAGAAATCACTTTGCTCATGCATAGGAAGCAACTTCTAAATCATTCAAGTATTATCGTGAGATTGCAGCAATTCAGTCTCATCTTCAGGCTTCACTTGTAATTCTATTTCTCTTTCTATCACACGGAAGTCACTTTCTCCACTGAAATCTTGAACTCCTTGAGCTATCCATGAGAGTTGGAATCAACTTTCAAACTCCTGTTAATGTCGATATTTTGACCTCCTTCCATAAATCACAGATGTTCATAATAGCATCTAAAATAGCAAATTCTTTCCAAAAAATTTTTACTTTACTTTGCCCAAAGCCACCAGAAGAATCACTATCTATGACAGGTATAGCTTTATAAAATGTACTTCTACAATAATAAGACTTGAAAATTCAAATTAGGCTGAGCACAGTGGCTCACATCTAATCCCAGCATTTTGAAATGCCGAGGAATGCATATTGCTTGAGCTCAGGAGATAAAGATCAGCCTGAGCAAAATGGCAAAACCCTGAAATCCCATCTCTACAAAAAGAGACCAAAACAATTAGCCAGCCGTGGTGGCTCATGCCTGTAGTCCCAGCTACATGGAAGCTGAGGCAGGAGGATCACTTGAGCCCAGGCAGTCAAGGCTGTGGTGAGCCAAGATCACGACACTGCACTCCAGTCTGGGTGACAAAATGAGACCCTGTCTCCAAACAATAAAAAAGGAGAAAGTTCCAATTACTTCTTCATTCATGAGTTGCAAAATAGATGTTGTGTTAGGAGGCATGAAAACATTAATCTCCTTATATATGTCTCCAATAGAGATCTTGGTTGACCACATTCATTGTAAATGAGCAGTAATATTTTTAAAGAAATCCTTCTTTTTTTTTTTTTCTGAGAAGTAGTTTTCAACAGTGGACTTAAAATATTTAGTAAACCATCCTGTAAACAGATGTGCTGTCCTCCAGGCTTTGTTGTTTCACTTATAAAGCATAGGCAGGTAGGATTAGCATAATTCTTAAGGTCCTGCGATTTTCAGAATAATAAATGAGCATTGGCTTCAAGTTAAAGTCATTAGATTCTACAAGAGAGTCAGCCTGTCCTTTGAAGCTTTGAAAGGATTTCTCCTCTCTAGTTATGAAAGTTCTAGATGGTATGATTTTCCAATAGAGGACTGTTTTATTCACATTGAAAATCTGTTCATCAGTGTAGCCATTTTCATCAACTATCTTAACTAGATCTTCTGGATAACTTGCTGCAGCTTCTGCATTAGCACTTGCTGCCTCACCATGTACTTTTATGTTATGGAAATAGCTTCTTAAGCCTACGAACTAACCTCTGCCAGATTCAAACTTTTCTTCTACAGCTTCCTCACCTCTGTCAGGCTTCATAGAAATGAGGAAGGTTAGGGCCTTACTCTGGATTAGGTTTTGGTTTAAGGAAATGTGGTGGTTGGTTTGATCTTCTATCCACACCACTCAAACTCTTCATATCAGCAATTAGGTTGTTTTGTTTTCTTATCATTCACGTGTTCACCGGAGTAGCACTTTTAATTTCCTGAAGAAAATTTCTCTTGCACTCTCATTTTGAGAGGCTGAGATGAGAGGATTTTTAAGCCCAAGAGTTCAAAACCATCCTGGGCAACACAGCAAGACCCGATCTCTACAAAAAATTTAAAAATTAGCCAAGTATGGTAGCATACACCTGTAGTCCTAGCTACTCTGGAGGCTGAGGTAAGAAGATAATACTTGAGTCCAGAAGTTCAAGGTTGCAATGAGCTGTGATCACACCACTGCACTCCAGCCTGGGTGACAGCAAGACCTTGTCTCAACCCACACACAAAAAAGGAACAAATAAATAAAACTAATAAAGCATTGGCTAGACTAACCAACAAAACATGAGAGAAGACCCTAATAAACAAAATCAGAAATGATAAAGAAGACATTACAACTGGTGCCACAGAAATGCAAAAGATTTTTCAGAGACTATTATGAACAACTATTCACTAACAAGCTGAAACACCTAGAGGAAATGTGTATCTCTCTGGACACACACAACCTACCAAGATTGAATCAGGAAGAAACAGAAACCCTGAACAGATGAATGATAAGCAATGAGATTGAACTAGTAATAAAAAGTCTCCCAACAAAGAAAAGTCTGGGACTCGACGGCTTCACTACCAAATTCTACCAAACTTACAAAGAAGAAACATCACTTCTCTTCACACTATTCCAAAAAAAGGTAAAGAGGAGAAAATTCTCTCTAACTTGTTCTATGAGGCCAGCATTATCCTGATACTAAAACCAGGTAAAAATGAAACAATGAAAGAAAACTACAGGCCAATATTCCTGATGAACATAGTTACAAAAATATCAACAAAATACTAGCAAAGAATATTCGGCAACACATCAAAAAGATAATACACCACAATTAAGTGGGATTTATCCCAGGAATGCAAGAATATTTCAACATGCAAATCAATAAACATGATATATCACATATATAGACTGAATAACAAAGATCATGTTCATTTCAATACACAAAGAAAAAAATTAATAAAATGTAACATCCTTTTATGATCAAAATTCTCAACAATAGAGGCAAACAAGAAACATATCTCAACATAATAAAGGTCAGGTATGACAAATACACAGGTAATATCATACCAAATGAAGAAATGCTGAAAGTCTTTTCCTCTATAATCTGGAACAAGACCAGGATGTTCAATTTCTACACTCCTATTTTACATATTTGGAAGTCCTAGCCAGAGAACTCAGGCAAAAGAAAGAAATGAAAGGCATCTAAATTGGAAATGGGGAAGTCAAATTGTCTCTTTCTGCAGGTGACATATTCTCATATCTATAACAACCTCAAGACTCCAACAAAAACTCTAAGATCTGATAAATAAATTCAGTAAAGTCGTAGGATACAAAATCGACATACAAAAGTCAGTAACATTTCTACACACAATAATAAACTAGCTGAAGTATAAATTAAGATGGAAATCCTATATGCAGTAGCTATAAAAACGTAAAATATCTAGAAATAAATTTAACCAAGAAGATGAAAGAACTCTATGAGGAAAACTACAAAGCACTAATGAAAGAAATTGAAGAGGACACAAAGCAATCGTAAACAAAAAGAACAAAGCTGAAGGCATCACACTACCTGACTCCAAAATGTATTACAAAGCTTAATAACCTAAACAGCATAGTATTTGGTATAAAAACAGGCACAGACCAATAGAACGGAATAGAAAACCCAGAAATAAATGTACATATTTACAGC